TACCCCCCGGGATGGCTGTACCTGTGTCTGGCTGTACCAGTCTCCCCAGTTCCTCGTTTCCTCTGATCAATTCTTAAAACATTCCTTAGTCAGCAATTAAAGGAATGAGGATGGTGACACTGAGGGAGGAGACGAGTCAGACTCCTCACCCTCTGCCAGGCTGGTTCTGCCTCGTCCCCTGCGTGGTCCAGGCGGGTGGCTGGGTGAGGGGACAGCTGTGGATGTCCCTGTGCCAGGACAGCCACCCAGCTGTGCCACACCTTGCCAAGGTCTTTGGCATACAGGAGTTCACCGTCACAGCAGGGATCTCTCATTTTGCTCCCGGGCTTTCCAGGACTTGGCCCAGTTGGGTTAAGGCTTTCCAGCTCCCTGTGGCCTTTAGCATGGCCCATGCTGGGGTCACCTCCCCAGCATCTCCTCGGGCAACATGTCCTCCCCAGCCAGCACTGCTTCTCTCAGTCCCATGAGTTCTGGCTGTTGAGGGGCTGGCTGGGTCCCTGCCAGCTTTCAGCTCCTTGTCCTGCTCTTGTTCTGCTTTGCCATGTCCTGCATGTCTCACCTGGAGGAGCAGAGTCCCTGGACCAAGCCACCAAGGTCCCTGTCTGTGGTGGGATGACGTGCTCCATCTGTCCAAGCAGGTGTCTTCATAGTGGGGAGGCAGCAGGGCCCCAGTTAGCAACCTGGAGAGCATTACCTGCCCAGGGTCTGGCAGTGGCCATGGAGACACTGGCCCAGGTTGGCCAGAGAAGCTGTGGCTGCTCCTCCCTGGAAGTGTTGAAGGCCCGGCTGGATGAGGGTTTGAGCAACCCGGGCTAGTGGAAGGGGTGGAAGGTGTCCCTGCTGCTGGCAGGGTGGTTGGGACTGGATGAGCTTTAAGGTCCCTTCCAACCCAAACCAGTGTGTGATCTCCAGACCTCGCTGTGAAGGGTCAGGATCCTCCTCCCTGTGCAGATGGGGTTGGGCCTCTGTCCCTGCAGAGGCAGATCTGGTCCTTTGTCCTTGTGTCCTCACCCTTCCCATGTGCCTGCAGCACCCCACGGACGTGGATTACCGTGTGATGGCCACTTTCACCGAGTTTTACACCACCCTCCTGGGCTTCGTCAACTTTCGCCTCTACCAGTCCCTCAACCTGCTCTACCCCCCCAAGGTGAGGCCACCACCAGGGATGTGCCCGAGCCTGGTGGGACCACCCAGCCTGGGTGTTGGAGAGTTAAGGTGGCAGAGGGGGAATGTCTCAGGGGTTCTGGGTTTGGATCTACCTCCTCAGCTTTCTGTTTCTCTCCAGATCGAGGGCCAGACTGACGCTGAGCTGAAGCCTGCGGAGGGCAAGGAGTACGCCATGGATTCGGAGAGCTACCTGGAGGTGAGGGACACTGCTGTCACCCATGGGAGGACCCTGCGTGGCCTTGGTGTCCTGACCACAGACCCCCTCCTGGTGTGGGGCACTCAGCGTGCAGAGGGGCAGAGCCTGATCCCTGCACAGCAGAGGACTGGTCCCAAACTCCTTGTCCTCTCACTCTGGCCAAGGGAGGAGCTGTGCTGGGACTCGGGGGCCACTGGCCTCCCCCCTGCATGGCAGAGGACCCTCCAGAGCCCCAGTGCTGGGGGCTGCAGGGTGGGACAGCACACGGAGGAGGCTGAATGTCTCCTAAATCCCTAGGTCCCTAAATCTCTAGGTCTTTTGAGCTCTTGCTCTGAGAAAACACCTTCTCCTTCCTCTGTGAGGCTCCCCCTTTTCCCATCCCCAAGCACCACCTGGGTGTGACACCCTCAATGTCTTCCCACCACAGAAACTGTCAGCTCTGAGCGCCAGCCTGGCCCGTGTGGTGGCACCAACCCACGAGGACGAGGTGGAGATGGACGAGTTCCCGGTGGAGGGGGTAGGAGCCTGGTGTGGGGCAGGGAGGGACTGCCAGGAGGATGGGGACAGAATCTCAAAGCCCTCCTTGCAGAGAGGGACTGTTCCTGGGGAGGAGGCTGAGTGCTTTGCTCTGAGCAGGAGACGGCAGAGCAGATGGACGCGAGGAGGAAGGAGCAGGACGCCCTAGAGAAGCACAAAAAGCTGTTTGAAGGGCTGCGGTTCTTCCTCAACAGGGAGGTGCCTCGAGAGCCACTGGCCTTCATCATCCGGTACGTGGTGGGCACTGCGCTTGCCTCCCCCAGCCTCCCTACCGGGACCTCTGAGGCTGATCTGGCTGACATCCCGTGGGTGAGGTGACCCTGAGGGCCCCTCCTGTCTGCCTGACCCCTCGGTGGGTTTTGCTGGCAGGTGCTTTGGTGGCCAGGTCTCCTGGGACAAGTCCCTGTGCATTGGTGCCACCTATGACGTGAACGACCCCTCCATCACCCACCAGATTGTTGACCGGCCCCGCGTGGAGAAGCAGGTTGTTGGCAGGTGGGTGAGGCAGGTTGGCTTGTTCCCAGAATGGCCACAGCAGGTGTCCCAGGCCATCCCAGAGCTGTCCCATGCTCTGTCTGCTCCCTCACAGCCCCACAGGCTGCGGTGGGAGGAAGGAGTCTGAGCCCATGTCCCTCTGTCCCACAGGTACTACCTGCAGCCTCAGTGGGTCTTTGACTCGGTCAATGCCAAGCTGTGCCTCCCCGTCGCTGACTATTTCCCTGGTGTCCTGCTGCCCCCGCACCTCTCGCCCTTCGTGACGGAGCAGGAAGGAGACTACATCCCTCCTGAGAAGCTGAAGCTGCTGGCCATGCAGAGGGGCGAGAACCCAGGTGATGTGAGGCGATGAGGAGCCAGGCAGCATTGCTACCTGGGCTGGGCTCTCCCTGCTCCAGGGCCAGCGACTGCTCTGGTGTGGGTAATGATGGTCTCTCTGTAGATGAGGAGAGTGAGGAGGAGGATGAAGAAGCAGAGGAAGAGGAAGATGACAATGATAAAGAAGAAGAGGAGGAAGATGAGTCTGAAAAGGAAGAGGAGATGAAATTGAAGAAGATAGAAGAGGAGATGAAATTGAAGAAGATGGAAGAGGAGATGAAATTAAAGAAGATGGAAGAGGAGAAGACTCAGAGCAACAAGGTACGGTTCCCGGTAGTGGGGTGGGAGCCCCAGGAGAAGGCAGCTCTGGTGAGCTCTGTCCCTGCTGGGGCTCTGCTCTCTGTGGGGTCCTTTCCCAGTCCCTGTCACCGCTGTGGCTGTGCTGCTCCTGTGGCAGCCCCACATTCATGAGCTGCAGCTCCCAGTCACACCCAGGACCTGCCGCCAGGTCCGGGCAGTGCTGTGGCTCTTTCAGCCCACAGTGAATGGTGTGGAAACATCTGTCCCTGGGGAAGGGTGATGAGCTCCTGGCGTCCAGCGTCCTGAGCTCTCCGGCTCCCTGCAGGTGCTTCCCGTGAAGGTGACCGCTGGCAAGCTGCGGCTGGAGGACAAGCAGCGCCTGGAGCAGGAGCAGCAAAGTGAGGAGAAGCGTCTGGCCATCATGATGATGAAGAAAAGGGAGAAATACCTCTACAAGAAGATCATGTTTGGCAAGAAGCGCAAAGTCCGAGAGGTATGAGCACAGGGCTGCTCTGCGCCAAGGACCTTTGCCTGGATCCTGGTGCTCACTCGTCCCAAATGGGATTGCTAAAGCCAAGTCTGTCCCTGTCTCAGAGGAGAGGGAGCAGCTTCTGCTTCTGATAGACTGGATCAGGAATAGTGTGGCCAGTAGGACCAGGGAAGTTCTCTTCCCCCTGCACTGGGCACTGGTGAGGCCGCAGCTGGAGTGCTGGGTTCAGTGTTGGGCCCCTGAGTCCAAGAAGGACATGGAGGTGCTGGAGCGTGTCCAGAGAAGGGAACGGAGCTGGGGAAGGGTCTGGAGCACAAGTGTGCTGAGTTCCCTTGTGGCTGAGGGAACTGGGGTTGTTGAGCCTGGAGAAAAGGAGGCTGAGGGGAGACCTTGTGGCTCTGTCCAAGTCCCTTGGAGGAGGGTGGAGAGAGGTGGGGGTGGGTCTGTTCAACCAAGGCCCAAGGGACAGGACAAGAGGAAATGGGCTCCAGTTGTGGCCAGGGCAGTTGAGATGGGACGTGAGGAAGAATTTCTTTGCTGCAAGGGTTCTGAGGCATTGGAAGGGGTTGGCCAGGGCAGTGGTGGAGTCCCCATCCCTGGAGGGATTGAAGAGTCGTGTAGACACAGTGCTGAGGGACATGGGTTAGTCAGGGACTTGTCAGTGTTGGGTTCATGATTGGACTTGATGATCTTGAAGGACTTTTCCAATCCAGGCCATTCTGGGATTGTGACTGTGCCAGTTCTGAGCTGCTCCTGCTCTTCTCCATACCTGGTGGGCAAGGGCAGGACTCATGAGCCTCTTCCCCTCATCACCTGGCTGCAATCCCTTGACCTGGGCAGGGCAGACAGAGCTCCTCATGCTCCCTCAGGGCCGTCGCTTGTTGCTGCTGCCCCTTTCTGTGCCCCACGCCTGGCCCGGGTGCCACAGCAGATGGGTCCATCTCCCCCACCTGCAGCTGTAGGGTTTGGTGGGAGTGAGGGCAGAGCAGCCCTTGGTGTCTGCAGACACATCTGACCGGGGGTCTCGGGGGGGTTTCTCCACAGGCAAACAAACTCGCTGCGAAGAGGAAAGCCCACGACACGGCCGCCAAAGAGGAGAGAAAGAAAAGCAAGAAGGCGCGGCGAGCGTGACGGGTCCGGGGGCTCCCTGCCGGGGCGAGCTGGCTGGCCACACCCTGCTGACACCATCGCATTTGGGTCAGAAACCCTCAGCTTTGATTTTGGGACAGAAATGCTCAATTAAAACATTTCCCATCTGCAAATACACCTCCCGTTGTGCCTTTCCCAGGCCTCCCTCAGCTCCCCTGTGCTGGTGCCACTGCCTGTCCTGGGCTGCAGGATTGGTGTCACCAGGACTGGCCTCTTCATGCTGATGCCACATCTGCTTCCTGACCCACAGGGGTGGCGGGCAAGGAGGAGGCTGGAGCTCTGGGCTCTGGCACATCCCTCCGGGACTGTTCCTTTGGAATTTGCACAGCCCTGGGCAGAGGAGCCAAGTGCCCGTGGCGGAGCAGGAGCTCCCTGGGGGCTGCTCGACTTGGTGGGGCGTTACCCCATGTTTTGGAGACTGGGCACAAGGAGCGGGGTCCTCTGCCTGTGGGAGCATCCGCACGGCGATCTCTGCTCCTCCTGGATTTTTATTTTTAATTAAAGAAGGTGACACTGCTCCTGGGCTGTGGGTTGTCTGTTCCCCCGGCTGTGGTGACACGGCTGCGCTGCACTCCGTGGTTGTCCCGGTCCTGGCATAGCGGCCACGGGTTGGTTCATCCAAGACAGGTGCGGGCCTGGAGATGTGGAGATGGCTCCTCATCCTGCAGTGGGTGAGCAGGTGTGGCTGTTGGGAGGTGGAGGAGAAGGGACAACCTGGTCCCTGCTGCAGGTGCCATCACCCGTGGGCTGTCACTTTGCTCCATGTCACTGTCTGCCAGTTCTTGTTTCCAGTGGCAGGGGTGGGG